CCCCCCCCCCATAAAACAGCTAACGAAACTGAGGCTCGGATAGACCAAGCAATGTGCCCAAGTCACTGACCGGATCCTACTCACCCCACTCCACAGGGAATCCAAGAATCCCCAAGTCTAATAATGTCAGGGGCTTTAGGTTATAGAATACTCCCGTCCGCTATACTCTAGTATCAGACTTTTAAGCGTTCAGCTGAGCAGAACCACCATGGACACACGGCCCCACATCCCCTGCGGAGCGGGCCTCCCTACGGTGGCACCTCTGAAGAAATGGCTATGCACATGCTGCTTGTACACGCCTGGAGATGGGAGGCTCACTACCATTCAGGGCCTGAGTCCTGCACCCCAGGATCCCACGGTCAGCCTGGAAAAGCAGCTGCCTCTAGGCTCTGATGGGGGGTGGGGCGGGAGTGCGGGGTGCCCACACATGTCTGCAGTGCACTCCCTTCCTGCAGTCCGTTTTCACCTTGGGCGCGGCGGCTGGGGGCCTCAGTGCCATGGTCCTCAATGACCTCCTGGGCCGGAAGCTCAGCATCATGTTCTCAGCCGTACCCTCGGCAGCTGGCTACGCACTCATGGCAGGCGCCCACGGCTTCTGGATGCTGCTGCTGGGGAGGACAATGACAGGCTTCGCCGGGGGGCTCACAGCTGCCTGCATCCCGGTAAGGCCAGGACCGCCACTCACTGCCTCGGCACCGAGTTGGCCCCCGTGTAGCTAAAGCCTCCTGACCCTCGAGCCATCTGGTCAGTGGGGGTTATGTTTGCCAGGGAGCCTCAGCTTACCTCCACCAGGGCAACCCATTTCAGGGAAATCTGGCCCCAGCTGACCTCACTCTGGACTCCCCATAGTTCCTACCCCATTTCCTGACAACCAGGCACATTGCTCAATTGGAGAAAATCTGCACGAAGCAAGGGGGAAAGGGGAAGTGTCTGCCCCGAGCCATCCCTCGGACTCCTCCCACAGCTCCCCCACGCGCCATGTCGGGCCCAGGGCAAGCCCAGAAGGGGGCAGAGGTGCCCCGGGGGCGGGGGTGGGACCGGAGTCTGCTCCATTTCCCAATCTCAGGCCACCCATTTTCAGAGCCAAGTGCCTCTGCCCACTTGACGGGGAAATGGACTGAGTCCCGACCAGGATAAGAACCCCACCTGAAGCCCCCGCTTCTCACCTCCCGAGGTTCACAGGGCCACCTCTCCCGTCTCGGGCCGGGCCCCGGACCCTAAACTCTCACCAGAGGCCGTGCGGGCTGATGTGTCTTGCAGGTGTACGTGTCTGAGATTGCTCCCCCGGGTGTTCGTGGGGCCCTGGGGGCCACGCCCCAGCTCATGGCAGTATTCGGGTCACTGTCCCTCTACGCCCTTGGCAAGTATCGTCCAGATGAGCAATGAGCGCCTCCTGTGTGCAGGCGGGCGGGTAACAGGGTGCCGCTGCTGAGCAGCCGTGGGTGGAAAGGCAGTGAATGTGCCCCAGAGCAAACCCCGAGCCGGGGGACAAGATACTTGCTCAGCCAGCACTGTGCTGTGTACCTCTAGGCAACCCGCTGCCTCTCTCTGGTCACATGGGAAGCCCATGCGGAAAAGAGAGCAGGGTACATCCGGTTGAGGTGGGGTGGGGGTTTGGAGATAGTAGCCCGGGGCCTTGCCTGCTCCGTCTACCCCGCCGTCCCCCTGCCGTGGCCCTTGAGACACTCCGAGAACCTCCTTCAGGCCCAGCCATCCCTGTAGCCCCTCCTGGTTTAGACCGCGGAGGCCTGAGGCAAGCAGGGTAGGCTTCCTGTAGGAGACGGCCCTGGGACTAGCGCTTGAGGACAGAGCAGGTCGCTCAGAGGCATCGATAGGAGGGGACTGGACGTGCAGCCTGGACGCCGGCCGCTCACCCCGTTGTCACCTCCAGGCCTCCTGCTGCCGTGGCGCTGGCTGGCTGTGGCCGGGGAAGGGCCTGTGCTCGTCATGACCCTGTTGCTCAGCTTCATGCCCAACTCCCCCCGCTTCCTGCTGTCGCGGGGCAGGGACGCGGAGGCGCTGCGGGCGCTGGCCTGGCTGCGCGGGGCCGACACCGACATCCGCTGGGAGTTCTCGCAGATCCAGGACAACGTCCAGAGACAGGTGCGGGAGGGTGGGTGCGAGGCCCTGGGTGGTGCAGCCGGCCACTGGGCCCGAGACTTGGCGGCTCGTCCTGGGGGG